TTTCTTTATTCATTATAAATCATTTACGTCTAAATTAAAGAAAAATTCCAGGAAACAACTATACATTTCGAAGGAATTATATGGGAAATGAGCGACGAACAGTTCCCAAAATATTAGCATTATAACTTTGTAAAGTTATATTAAGCCTTTATATTGATCTGCAATTCACATTATTAAGAACGAAATTCTGAGCTTATTATATTTTAGCTAAAATCTTTCTTAATTTTATGTTTTAAATTTTTATTACCTTCAAATTAATATTTGCGTTATAATAAATATTTAAATTCTTGGCTACTATTTTAAATTTTAGTGGTTTAATAACAAAAACTTATCGAATCAGATAAAAAATAATAATTCATGCCAGGACTTATATATTTTTATATTCTGATTTATTAATCATCTTTCTAAGATGATTACGTAGTAGAAAAGTATTAAAAGAGTAGTAAATTGTGTTAGGAAAATCAGAAAAATAAAAGACAGATGAGGGAGAATAAGCAGGGCCGAAACGGGCCTTCTTAAAATTATCAGCTTGAAACTAGAGATCTGCCGCAATCTGCGTGTGACAACCGAAAAAAATCGCCAACGTCGCTTTTGACAAATCGGCAGCCGCGGTCGCTATGACAACGACTCCGACCAGAACCAATCAGATTTGTTCAGCTCCTCAAAATCACGGTCGGAGTTTCTGAAATATGGAAGACCGTCACACTCGTGATGGTTGGAAATTGGTTTTTAATTCTTGCTTTTGTTTCCCCTCCGAACTTTCAGAAAGGGAAAGTAACTCACGAAAAAGGTTTATTAAAAGATTATGTTTGCGCTTTTTATTACACTGGTTTCCTCCGGAGGGTTAAAATACGAAGTGTAAGATTTATTAAGCTATAATGTATGCGTGAGTTCTATACTGTGACTTTCTTAAAAACATATTTCTTGAAAGTAGGTGAACTCAGTTATCAGATGCTCAGTCATATTATTGGTGACTTTGTACAGTGACGGAAGTATTTACAAGAAACTAATTTTCCTGTAAGCTATGTGAAGTTATGATATAAATTTGTGAATATGATTAAAGTAGAGAGTTAGGTTATGCGTTACAGCAAAGCTCTACAAGGGTATTTGCCTTCAAGGAAATGGCTATGAAAGGAACTTCCAAGAAAAATTACATTGTATTTACGTTTATACATGCAGAAACCAGCGAGAAAGACCTAGCAACCAAACAGTTCATTCACCCTGAACGGACTAACTCGCTCCGAAATTGTTCAATGTTCCTTCCCCGTTTCCCCCTCCCCTCCGCGCACCACCTAGTTAATAAGATCTCTGCCCATTGGTAGTTCGAATCAGATAGAAATCTCACGGGTTGACTGCATAAGCATATTCGTGGCTCTTCCCATATGTAATGTGAAAACGAGCCAGTTCTCTTGAAACCGTCCTTCACAACGACATCCTTCATCATAGGCAGACATCCTTCATTATAGGCAGACAACCTTCATGTGCTTTGTCTAATCAGTTAAACAAACTTTTGCATAACGCAAATACGAGCGAGTTTCCCGAGAAATCCCTTGAAGAAAGCATTTCTCTCTCTAGGTAATTAGCCCTTTCAAGCTTTGCTATAATCAATAAAACAAACAAACAAACCTATCCGTTGAACCCAGAAACTCTTCTCGTGTTTTGTTGAGAGCCCAGCTTTCAAGCGGTATACTAAGGCTGCATTTAATTATATCTAATACACAACAACTTTAAAGCTGTAAGTCTCCTATACATTCTTCGTTTTTTCATTACTAATCATTGCCTAAAACTAATTTCAATCGAAATAATTGTAAAGTTATTTTGAATTAAGGTCAAACTCAAATAAATTGCCTTCTAACGTTTACAAGTAAACAGACGTTTCCCTATGAATGGGAGCTATGAGTAGCGACTTTTTTTTTTTTAATTTTGAGTGTGGGTTGGAATCCGACATACAGAAACCTGTTCTAGTTCAAGCTCAGTTTACAGTAATTTAAAATATAATAAAGATAAATTCTGTAAATTTTCTGTTTAGTTAAACTGACCTCACATACATTTTAAAACTCTGGTAGTTTTCACGCAGAATTATAGGAGCATTTTAGCAGACTCTTTCACTCTCAGTGACTTCCTTCAACAATAAGTTCGTTCAATAATAACCGTAAGTTCGCTTTATTCAGTCCGCAAATAGCTGAGTACACGAGAGGGTTGAACAACAGCTGCTTGTCTTGGATTTTCATCCCACTGAAATAGTGGCTGAATGAGTATTTTCATGTTTTTCGGCATGCGTAACGTGAATATGAGTCAGTTTTCTTTAGAAAGCATTCCATGTGAGTATCCGTCTTCTTGAGCGGATAGCACTTGTATATCTTATCATAATCGATTAAGTACGCCGTTAATATTTCTAAAAGGAATGATGATATTTTATATATTGAAACAGACTCGTTGAACCTTAGAAGGAACCTCTTAATCCTCCCAAGGTTTGATTTCTAAAATAGAAGTGCTAGCAGACGATGAGAAACAAAGGAAAAAAATAAATAAAAAAAATAACTAAAAATTAAAATAATTATATATTTAAATTTTTTCTCCATCTGGAATTAAAATTCTACTCCCAAGCTAAGAAGCAGCTCAGCCTATCTCCATCTGAATTTAAGCCGTGATTATATGATTCATGAACTATTCCTAGGATGGAAAATACAAAAACCATTCCTTTTATACAACATACCGCTTAAAAAAGGTAAAACGATTAAAAACGTCACTACGGAGAATAGTGAGAATTCTAGAAACAACATCAGGATGCGGAAGGAAATATTAACGGAAAAGTGTCTTTGAAAATAAAGAGGGAAGAGTCCAAGACTTTTTGATCGCGATTCCTTGTCGATGTAATTCTAGCCGTCAAGCAGAAATTTGCCCTGAATACGATTCGATAACAACGCGAGAATAAACATAAGATTTCTGTGGTACAAGTGACAGTAGTGGTCCTAGTGTTTGGTTACATCGTTCAAAAAGTCTACAGGAGCTCTGCAGTAGGAGTCATTAGAGTGGCACGTGCACGACCAGGGTGATCACTTACAGCACTTTTAGGAATGAGAAATTTTTCTTTCTTGTTAATTCATTGCACATCCTGGAGAATAAGCCTTTCACATGTGGTAGGAGGCTTTTCTTTCCTTAAAAGTCTCAACTTCTTGCCCAAGGTTTGAGTCCGAGGGAAAACAAGCCATTATTCAGATGTTAGAATCGATGTTTAAGGCATATATTTACTATTAAAATAAAATTTGGCTGCTGAAAGTATGGTTCGCTTACATAAAAAAGTGCCAGAGTTCTTTTATGAAGGTCTTCGATGCCCTTCAGCTAAAAGTGGGATTTATCTCAAGAACTGAGAAGTACCAAAGCCGGGCTGCGGCGCAGTTTAAGCTCTGATTCCTCCATTAGCCCACTGAAGTTTCAAAGCCTAGATTTTGATATTATGCTCTTAGGGAAAATTCAAGTTTTTTAAATATCATGTTAAACCTGAAATCATTACAATCCGCATTCATTACAGCGTATGAATGCTTCTTTTGGTCATATTAGAAAAAAAATCTGGACTACCAAAACAAAAATTGGTCTCAGAAATATCAATATTTCCTCGTAACTTAATTTATGATTATTATTATTCAAAATATTTTGCGAGAGTTTATACAAATGAACAACAAACCTATTAGCAACGCTTTTACAAACTTCATTTTAAACTTCTTCTGAACCCACACGATAACCAGATTTCCTACATTTAATATTAAAAATTAACAAAAAATTCATCTTCAGTTAAGACTATACAAAAAAGGATAAAGATACTTTCTGCAAGGAGACAAAGCTATCTCTCTATTATTATTCACAAAGTTTTATGTATGAAGCCATAAAGCACAATCACAGTAGTCTGCTAATAGAACCATGAAGTCCTAATCAATATGGTAGAAATAATAGAAGCTTACTACTGCTTTAGTTGTACGCTTGCGAATAAGAAGGAATGTGAAGTGTTTGAAATGCCTCAATCTTTTTGCATGCGAAGTTCAGTGTTTAAAACTTTAATTTTAGAAATTAACACAGACAATGCAACAGAAAATATTTTTCATGTTATTTAAGAATTTAATTGTGTTTCTTAGTTATTCATGTTAATATTATAATGAAGTTTAAGATGCTTAAATTTAAATTGAAAATACCAGTACTTCGCCCCCTAATAAATAAGTTCTTCAATAAATGAATTCTAACATTTATCCGCAAGGATTGCAAATAAATTATTTGTATGAGTGATGAGTGTAATTTTATTGAGAAAACTTTTTCCCTAAATTTCTGACGATAATTATCTACAACATTTACTTTTTTAAATGAATGTAACAATTTTTAAATACCCGAAGAATTTTTTAATTAAAACGCAGTCTAAATTAATTTATTTTTCATGTTAACTCGATTAATTAAAGTGTTGTTGTAACTTATCTCACTTGTCTGACAGTAACATCAAAACAAGTCCACGAATTTTACCTTAGTAAGAAGAGAATTACATCTGTCACTGAAATGAGCCTTGGGCACCTTATAGGAGCGAAAACGACTTCGCCCCGATTTTGAGCAAGAATTACCCGGGGTATGTCTTACCTCTTTTCCTTTACCACCATGCCATTCGAGAGGACTTTCAACTCTCCGCGTATTTTAAGTGCCCCCACCCAGTCGCAAAATCTCTATACATTTACCCAAACAATGCATACATGCTCTCTAAATGCTAAACCACTATACTGATTAGTACGACATTAGTTAAAATGTTTATTTATTTATTTATTTATTGAGATTTGAAGTTCAGCATTAACTGTTCTACCGAATATAAATCAAAATAATTTATGTATTTCAACTTATAAATGTTGTTTTATTTTCTAAACATGAGAATTATTCCTTGTACTGAATATTTATTGTTGTTATTATTATTATTGTAGTTGGTGGTGGTATTATTTTAGTTTTATATTTTGCGAGTTTATTTAATCATTCAGCGTTTTATTTTTAATTTCTAGGTACTCATAAGCTTTTCGTTTGACTATTTCTCTCAGAAGATAGGTAGTTGTCCTTCAGAAGATGCGTAGTCGTTTCTGTGTAAGTAAATTAAAGTAAAATTATTTTGAAAACAAAATGACTTAAAGCTTCTTTAATCTATTTACTTTTGAGAATAAGCTTAATAATTATTGCATTTGAAATAATAGAATCATTAATTTCCCAAACATAAATAAACAACTGACTTCTTTTATTAGCAATAGAGCGGCTCGAAATTTGCATACATCCAATAACATAAGAGATGAAAAAGCAACTTTTTCATGCACTTGCTGAAATTTTACAACAGAGATCTTTCAGTTTAATAAAAAGCCTCTTAGACTCACTTCAAGGATTGATTTTTACTTATAATACAGGCTGAAAAATGAATTTTCCAGTATCAAAATCGTTTTGTAATGTAAAATATTATGTTTTTGTATGCGCACTTTTTTGTTTTCTCCTGATGTCTGTATATATTTGAATACATCTATGGTATAATTTTTAAATGCAGTTATTAGAGCAAACCCAAAATATTTTAATCCCTTCACTGTCTTAAATTTTGATAAATTAAAGGATTCCATTTATCAAACAAACACAAAATTTGCACTATTTCATAAAAAATATTTCTATAATATAGGCTAGCATTGTTACGTAATTTCAATGAAAATAATGTTAAAATTAATTTTAGATCATTTTTAACTAATTCACTGCCTAATTATCAATTTTAGCTTGCATATATTCAAGTAAATATTTTAATTAGTACTTATAAATTGAAAAGCATAAAGAGCTTGTACAATCTTTTCTTTAGAACTCGTACGAATCAATTCTCATGCAATTAATTTTGCTATATAGATAAACATTCTGTTTTTATTTATTTTCATTGCTTCATCTTGTTTGCAACAGAGCTCTCTGAAAAGAATTTAAAAAATTGTAAGTTAATTAATAAATGAAATTCTATCTTTCATGTTTTCTTAGGCATTGTTTCTGCTATCATAATTATTTTTGGTAATTTTGTAAAACATTTTTCCTAGGAAAACCTATTAGAAACTCTATTCAATGCAAAAAGTCTTTGATTCTTTATGTATGTCTTTGACTGTTTAGTCTAAGTTATTTCACTTGTTGTAAAAGCCAGATTAAATAATCATATCATAATCAGATCATAATTTTTGAGCTTGTTAAATTTATTTATATTCAAAGAATTTATCGTAGGTTGGTTTCAGGTTTCAATCCCTAGTTGTAACGTCTACTTCCTCTCTATTTTCTTATATAAAGTGTACATAGCAAACTCGTTTCTTATTCGTTGATAAGACATAAATAGCCAACCGGCTTAAAACTTCTAATCTGCAAATATCCGGACACTAGAAAACATTATTCAAAAATTTAATTGCATTTAAGTTAACATATTTTTTATTTGATTTATTAAACCACCTTACAGGTTTACTCAAATTTGTTGATCTTATTCATATACCTAAGTACGTTTCAGTTACTTTCACTGCAGTTATTAAAGTGCTTTTCCACGAATGGGAAATTATTAATGAATCAGGAAATTTTGCATTAGATCTTAAAATTATTGTATTGATGACTTCAATATCCTGTGAATCTGACTGAGTGAATATTTAATCATTCCTTGAATTCATCTTTAATACTGGAAAGTTACCTGGATTTCTTAATTCTGTATTTCTATTTTTTTCAGCATCTTATTGTGCCAGATATTTAAAAATTAGTTATTAGAAGAGTGATAAACATCTTGAACAAAGTATTTTTATATTTACAGTTCTTATATCCACTGCACGCGTGAAGTTACATTCTAATACTCACACAATACAAGTGGAAACACATATATGTTAAGAAAAAAATTAAAAAGAGAAAAGAGCTGAATAAATCACACTTTGTAGATGTAAAAATAAAACATTCTTTTCCGTGTACTCTTCTCCTGATAACTAATTATAGGGAATGATTTATAAGCTATATAAAAATAATCTCAAGTTCCTAAATTGCTAATTTAAAATAATAAACTACGATTTATGAGAAAACACTTGCAAGTATTATAACCAATATGTTTCAAGAATTTTCCAAAGTTACGGCCATTATTATAAAAAATTTTATAGTGTGCCAAAACAAAAATATTTCCCTTTCAAATTTTAGAAATTCATTTTTCTTTGTGTCAACATTCTTCATTGGAAAATAATATAAACATAGTGAAATAATAAACGTTTGACTCATGTACAAAAAACTACTTTACTTAAAGTATATTTTATTTTACTCGCACAACGCTAAAAATGTAAAAGCACGTGACACGCAAAAAAGCTTATGTTGTTGTTCCCATGATAACGTAAAAGTTTCGTTGTTTAGCGTTCGAAGCTTTAACAAGAAACCACAGTTTTCTGAGAAAAGTAACAAAGGAAATTTTAAGATATTTTCTACCTCAAACATATAAGTATTACTGCTGACTGCCCAAAAATTTTAGTCTTTTAAAATTTGAAGGTATTGTTTATTATTTAGTCAAATATGCCCGCACATTTTTTTAGTTCCTTACTCTTTTGTCCATTGTCCATTTTTTGCAAAATACGCAAGTTAAGTATATAATTTCTCTACCCTGTGTTAAAAATGTATGCCAATTTTTAAACACCAAAATTACGATATTAAAAGCCCACATAAGATTCGAAACACACGTAAATCTCTAATCGCTTCAACTATCCTGGCAAACAGTATCGGATTTATGAAGTGAAAATCCCCAGTTTAAGATACAAAATGTGGTTATTAATTTTTAAAAATTAGTTCATGATTTGAGTGTTCATTGAAAAGCGAAGCCTGTGACAACTGTGTCTTTTATGAATATCATACATCTGCTTCTGCCGCCAATTTATTTCCCACAATGTGCACGTATACGATGGAATCTTGAATGATTTTGGAGGAATTTTTGGTTGCGTTGCTAAAATAATTTAAATTTATAATATGGTAACTTTACAGTTACAATATTCAGGTTGGAAAAGGTAATTAGAATTACACGAAACCTGTAGTTTAAAGGCATATGAACAAATAAAATTACAAAAACTATAAAACTTTTAGAATGATATTTAACTCTATATGTTTTGTTTGAGTAGTTTCTCACACTTTATCTACTCATTAAAAAATGAAAGAGGACCCATTTTTGTAGTAATCTTGTCAACATGTTGGTGTTACTTTAGATAGATTCATTATTTATATTTTTAATAATAAATATTTTAAAATATAGGTGAAACATCTATCCTGTTTCAGTTGTATTTGAATGTCTCGCAGTAATCCACACTTTCTTTCATTATACAGAAAGGCAGCAAGAATTCCGAGTTATACAACAATCGAAGAACAAATCATACAGTTCTCCCGTTTACCGCTTAATGGGAATCGAGCAAGAGTCAAACTCTTCGAATTGCACTCCAGCCTGTAATGTGTGCTGTCGTACAAATCCTCGGTGCATGTCATGGAAAAAGCGGAAAAAAGCTTTTTAAAAGCACCCGTTACAACAGGAACTCAGTACTAGAGAAATATTAATAATAATAACAAAAAAGTCAGAAATTGCAATCGGCAAAGTCAGAAAATAGCCCAAGCAGGAGTGTGTCTGAAACCGCCTGGAAGAGTGTGTATATGCGAGGGAGGCCAACTCTAAAAGGGGGCGACGAGGAGTGAAGGAGGGTCGGATGCATGCGGATAGAGGAACGACGCTTCCTGTAAGTGTGTGCTGTAGAAGGGGGTCTGGAGAGGACCGGGGCAGGCAGTCTTCTCTCTTCGCATTTGCATCTCATAAATATGGATGGCCAGACTTTTGGGTATGTGATCTTTAGCGCCCTCCCCTACCACCATCCCTCGTCTTCCACTACCATCTCTCTCTCTCTCTCGTTCTCTCTTTGCCTCATCTGGATCGTCTTCTTAGGGTTGCTGGGATCTGAAGAAGGGTCAGACTGGACGGCGCCAATATGTGATTTGGCGCTGATCTATGAATAACATTCTCTCATATAATGCCTTAAATAGGTCTTGCACTTTTTTTCTCTATAAAATGTATTTCATGAAATACATAGCCTACTACTAATAATTTGAAAACGAGTGTTAAAAAGTTTTTAGAAACGATTCCTCCTAAACTTCTCAACATGTAAGGCGGTTAGGCAAATCTCAACCGGACGCTGATTTCATAGAAAACCTGCATGCCTTTTAAGTGAATTACCATTAGGTCCTGCTCAAAAAGCAAAATTAATCTACACCCAACTCTACGCATATACATTACGCACACATACAATATATACTATATATATATATATATATATGTTTAATCGGGTGAGATGTATAATTACATTATGTTTAAACTTTTCCTGACATTGTGATTAAAATTTTATTTTTTAAAAATACTACACTATACCGTGAAAAGAGAATACTGTAAAAAAAGTTGCAAATTACTTTTTGATAATTTGTTTCTAAATTTATTTTTGGCATTAGCATTGGGAAAAACTTAAAATGTAATACACTATTTAGTGTAAAATTTGCATGAAATTTTAATTTAAATAGGGTGTTAAAAACTCTTTAGTTTTCCATACTGTAATTTCTAAAGTGGGTTATATAAAATTAAAATGATACGGAATTTATAAGAAAATATGCTTTTATTTGATTCCTTTATCGTAAGTTTCTTTGTTTTCTTTAAAAGTAAGAAAATAGTTAGCAAGAAATGATACGTAAACGAAGAAAGAAGTAATGTTTTTATTTTTCGAAAAACTTGGTCTTACTGTTTATAATTTCAATTAGTTCACCATCTGTACCACACATTCATATTTTTCCAAAATTCAGTTTTAGTGCTAGGTTTTAAATGGCTCAGCAGTGGGATGTAATAGAAATGCACTTTTATACTCTTTGTTCATAACTGATTCCTTATATCAAATAGTTCTATAAGATATTATGATTTAAGCTATTCAGTTTTTATTGCTTTAAAGTCTAAAAATGAAATCAGACATTTAAGCTACAGATTCACCTTATTCTCAGTTTTTGACGGGAGCTTTGAAAATGAAAATTAACCTCTCAGATGAAAATCATTCAAGGAATTA